AAAGAAAAGGCCCCTGAACACCCCGGGCCTCGGTCCATCCTACCGAGCCGGCCTAGTCTTTCCACCTCACGGGCCGCCCACCTCCTTCCCTGTTCATCCGACCAGGGCTCCTCTCGCGCGTCCCCGCCACACCACATCGCCGGCGATGCCTTGGAGGGGATAAGAACGCCGTGAGCCTCCCCCTCAGCCTCGTCAGCCCCCCCCACTCGCTCCAAAATATCTCCCTCGCAGTCCCCCTGCCCCTCTCATCCTCTCCACCTCCTTCCCCCTTCAGATCCGCTCGCCCCGAGCGCATTCGTCGCCGTCGTCGACAACCACCGTGGCCACCGTCCGCCCCCACGCTGCGCCACCATGCCTCCTCTCTTTGTCGGTGTCGACTACGCCTCATCGACGAGCCCCAAGACGCCAGGGACCGCCTACACCTCCGCCCCGGGTCATCTTCTTCCTCAGCTCGCCTCCGTCTTCTTCAATGTCGGCGCCCACTGCAGCTACTAAGCCCCCACCAGGCCATCGTGAGCCTCCCCAGTGAGCACCGCACGTCCTCCCCCCCTACTCCCTTCGTCCCCGTAGCCTCGCTAGCCGCCATGGTCGTAGGTCGTCTTCGCCGCTCCGATTTGTCGCCTCCAAGCCGTCCCCGCCCCCCTCGACCTCACCATCGAGCTCATGGGGAGCCTCTCGTCTGATTACTGCTTTTACCGGTCTCGATTCGTGCCCTTCTGCACTGTTGCTCGCCATGGCCGAAGCTTGCCATAGCCGCGCCCGGTTCCCGCCACGCCTGCGGTGGCCCTTGCGGCCTTGCCTCTCCGCCGGCCGCCCCGGCCACCACTGCACCTGGCCTCGCCCCCACTTCCCCTTGCCGGCGCCACGCCGCCGCCCCGGTGGCCATCGCCGGCCACGGCCTCGCCTGTGCCCCGTTCGGGCGGGCGCCCGCACCCGCGGCGCACCTGCACCTGTAACCCGTGTGGCCTCTTGGGCCACTTACAAGTGGGGCCCGCCCCTGTTAAAAAAGAGAGAAAAGAAAACATGAATACATATATATAATTATTTAATTAATTAGTTAAATGATTAATTAACTTAATTAATTAATCTAATGAACTAGATTAGTTAGTTAAATCAGTAATTAGTGAGCTGAGACAATGACAGGGGGCCCCACCCCCTGTTGACCAGTCAAACATTGACTGGTCAACTGGGACCCCTGGTCCATCTGTCAGCCACTGGGTACACTTTTGTGTACACTATGTTCGGTGCGCCTAGCATTTACTCATTATTTTTGAATTAAATTAAAATTGCAGAATATCATTAAAACTTTGAAAAATCATAGAAATTAAACTGTAGTTCGGATCGAAAACTTTCTACATAAAAGTTGCTCAGAATGACGAGACGAATCCAAATACGCTCTCCGTTCATCTGTCACATGCCCCTAGAATAGAGAACATGGAACTTTCCTCCTCCGGTCCGCCTGTCCGAAAATGCCAAACTTCGGGAAAACATTCCCGGATGTTATCCCCCTTCGCCGGTATTGTGTAGCATTGCGTTAGAGCATCCCTGGTGCTGCTTATTGTCATGTCATGCATCTGTTTGCTCTGTATTTACTGTTTCTTCCCCCTCTTCTTCTTCCGTAGACCCCAAGACCGCTGCTGATGCCCCTGTGATCGACTACGTCGATGACGACCCTTCTTCCCTTTCAGCGGAGCTTCCAGGCAAGCCCCCCCTTGATCATCCTGATATCGCCCATTCTATTCTCTCATGCTTGCATTAGATTTCGCTACTGTAATTGATTGCTCCTATTCTGATGCATAGCCTGCTTTTGTAACCTGCTATTGTACCTTACCTGCTTACCCTAAACTGCTTAGTATAGGTTGGTTAGTGAGCCATCAGTGACCCCCACCTTGTCCTTGTTGCCCCTGCTTCATCATCGACGCCTCGATCAACGTGATCGATGACCAGAGCCCGACACCTCACATCACATCACGCCCCTTTTGATGCTCGACTCTGCAGATTTACCATCGAGTGCCGAGGGTGGAACCTCATACATCACTCCTGATGAGATCTCTGTAGTGTAGCTATTCGGTCGTGGTCAACGAGGGTGGTTCCTCGTTCACCATTCCCGATACGGCTGTCGTGCAACACCTCAAGTGTGAACCTTGAGGGTGGATCCTCCTACGTTCACCTTGATGATTACATCGAGTGGAATCCTTCGTGGGTGATTCCTCGGATTTTCCCCTTGATGTTTGGACACACGGTTACCTTTACTTTACTTGAGACCATTGTTGAAGTCGGGTCGGCCCTGAGGGGTACCCGCGAGTTGATGTGAAAGTCGGGCGGGTCCATTGAGCACCCGCGAGTTTTCCACGTGGCACGACCGGGCAGTCTGGGCCCTTGCCGTAAGTCCATGAGACGGGGCGACGGGGTCACATTATCGTGAGTCTTTGCTCGTCTCCGCGAGCCCCCAATGCACTAACAGGTTTGGGTATTTGTTCTGAGTTGGCCTCTGGCCTTCACACACTAACCACCACGCGAGAATAGATATGGGCCTCCATGTCGCAGTATCAGCCGAAGCTTTGTCAGACGTCCAATTCAGTAGTGCGGCACGGTCAGATCGTGCTAGCCATCCGAGGCGGTGCTGGTATTCACCCTGCGCGCAATGACCCGGAGTGTTGCGGACGATGGGCCCAAGACCCTGGAGCGCTTAGGATGTAGACATACGGGGACCTATCTACTGAGCCTAGGTAGGGCTACGACGTGTTGATCTTCCGAGGCCGGACATTGACCCCAGAAAGGTGTGTCCGGCTAGAGTGATCGAGCGTGTTGGGTAACGTGGTGCACCCCTGCAGGGAAGTTATATATTCGAATATCGTGACCACTGTAATGGACGTTCAGACTTATATCCTGATCTTATATAACTAGAAATGGATACATGAGATATGTGATGGATATGTGGCTCCGAGATTGCTGTCCCGCAGGGAGTCGGGGGAGGATCTCTGGGCGTTGATGTTACAACATGCTTGTTTAATATTAAAATGCTATTCTTTACTCTCCTACATGCTGCAAGATGCTCGGAGCTGCTTGAAGATGCTAGTCTTTGATAGGCTAGGCCTCCCCCCTCTATTCTGGCATTCTGCAGTTCAGTCCACAGATACAAACCTTCCATTTGATACCAATGCATACTTAGTATAGATCTGATGCTTGCGAGTACTTTGGATGAGTACTCACGGTTGCTTTGCTACCCCTCCCCCCTTCTTTCTTCTTTCCGGTTGATGCAACCAGATGGTGGATCCCTGGAGCCAGATGCCGCTGCCGATGGATGCTACTACGTGGAGACCGCCGACGACTAGGAGTAGTTTAGGAGGTCCCAGACAGGAGGCCTTGCCTCTTCGATCATGTTGCTTTTGTGCCTTCTTAAGGCATCCTTGTTTAACTTATGTCTGTACTCAGATATTGTTGCTTCCGCTGACTCTTGTGTATCGAGCTATGTATTCGAGCCCTCGAGGCCCCTCGCTTGTAATATAAAGCTTGTATTATTTTATCTGTGTCTAGAGTTATGTTGTGATATCTTCCTGTGAGTCCTTGATCTTGATCATACACATTTGCGTGTATGATTAGTGTACGATTGAATCGGGGGCGTCACAAATCGCCACCCATGCCGGTTATCCCGGGCACGTACAAGAGCTCAACATTTCTCGGTTCGGGAGGCGATGAAGGCAGGGCGACGCAACTGCGAATGATTCTGGGTTGAGCTAGATTGTTGGCATTGAGTTCACAATATTAGAGTGAGGTGTAGTGGTGGCCGAGAAATGCATCTGTGCCCGGAGGTGGTTTGGGGAGTGGCTCGGCGGTGGGAGAGAACGACGACAACGACGTGTGCTCTTGGGGAGGTTACGAAAGAGGCAACCTCTCAGAGAGGGCAGCGAGGGGTTTTGTGGAGCCGAAGGTAAGCGCGGAAGGCGGTGGATCGTGGCCACCGTCGACGGTGCAAATGGAAGTCTCCTCCTGTAAAAAACGGAACAATTTGAGATAGTTTTGTGCATGGACG